CAAAAAGATAATTAAGAATGAAAGACAAAGAGAAAGAAGACAAGAAAAGAAAGGAAAACACACATTCACGTTATTCCTAAAATAAAAATTATGAGAAAAAAAAAGTTACTGGAAAACAATTATTTTTTCAGAAGAGGCAAAAATTAAAGATTAATAAAAGTTTTAGAAAAGGAAAAAATTTTTTTATATATATGGTAACAAAAAATGAGAAAAAAAAACAAAAGAAAAAAAGAAAAGAAGAAGAAGAAGAAAAAGTTCTTTGATTTTTTTTTTTTTTTGGGGGGAGGGGTGGGAAGAGTCTTGTATCTCCCTTTTGTCTGTAACCAGAGTCTGGTTGGAGTCTCTGGTCAGCTTGAGGTCCTGTGGCTTGATTGGTTTCTTAAGTCAGTTTGTTGGAACAGGCAGAAAAATGCTCTGCTTTACCCAAGATTTTGAGATTCCCCCTCCCAGGTTAGTTTACTGGGAGGGTGATCTGCTTTGAGAATCACACAAGAGGGGGATGCAGTGATGAGGCTAGGTTCTGGGTAGAGTTGAGGCCTTTCAACAAACTGTAGCTTTTCCCTGGGGCTATTTTGTGAAAAAAACTCACAGCCCCCAGCCTGGAACCATTCTCAGGGTTTCTGTTTTTCAATTGATTGTGGTGGCTGCTAGAGGGAGGGGCAGCCTCTGGCTCTGGTTACCCGGTGAGGAGAGCCACTCCAATGGCTGGCGCCTGAGCTGGGTGACTTTTCCCTGGATGGAACTGAGTCTGTGAGGTCACTTCGCCGTTAAGTTCTTGTGACCTGCTAAATGACTCGTTTTATTTCAAGGCCTGAGCTGGAGCTGGCAGCTCCTCCGAGCTTTGTCGGTATCCAAGATGGAGATCACCGGTGCTGGGGGGGGAGGGGTGGCCTTCCCTCCTCTGCTCCCTGAGAAGGAGTGAGGACGTCGGGCTTCTACTCACGCCCAGTCTTGGATCCTGGGTCGTCTCTGGTCTGCAAAGTGCAGGATGAAGATGTCCGCTCCTTGTCGGTTCTTGCTGGTGTTGAGTAGAATCCGCTCGTCCGCTGCGTCTGGCTCCTTCATCCCGGACTGTGTCTCAGGTATGACCCTGCGGCGGTGGTCGCCGCCGCGACCCTGCCGCCGCAGCGGCAGCTGCTCAGATGTGTCTGCTTGGCTTCCCCTCTCTTGACTAGCTCTCTGTCCTGTGATGGCACACTTGGTGTGATTCTCTGGCTTGGGACTGTTCACTGGAACTCTGAAACTGTTTTCTATGCAAGAGCTTGTTCAGATTCCAGCTTCTCCTCCGCCATCTTCCCGGAACTTTCAGCAAGAGTTTAGGATGATGGTAATAAAAGGATATAAAAGTGAATAGTGGTGGTGTGTGTGTGCATGTGTGTATCCGTCTTGGGGCTTGAATTCGGGGCCTGAGCACTGTCCCTGAGCTTCTTTTGCTCAAGGCTAGTGCTCTACCACTTAGGCCACAGCTCCATTTCCGGCTTTTAGGTGATTAACTGGAGGTAAGAGTCTCACTGACTTTCCTGCCTGGGCTGGCTTCGAACCACTATATTCTCAGATTTCAGCCTGCTCAGGATTACAGGCCTGAGCCACCATTGTCTGCTTCCCATAGAGGTGATATTTGTTTTGTTTTGTGCTTTTTGGTCGGTCATGGGGCTTGAACTCTGGGCCTGGGCGCTGTCCCTGCACTCTTCAGCTCAAGGCGAGCGCTCTACCGCTTGAGCTACAGTGCCACTTCCATAGAGGTGATATTTAAAGGGGGGAAAGTTCTATGAATGTTAGAAATGAATATGAGAGCATTAGCCAAAACTTAAGAGACTAAAAAAGGGGCAAGGGGCACAAAACAGAGGAAGAAAGGAACGTTTTGTGCTGCAGCAGGAATGGCTGGCCAGGCCTGGAATGTTCTAGCAGATCGGCTGTCTCCTGGAATCTTTACAATGTGGAACGCGTTGTGGTTTGGGAGGACGGTAGCATTTCACTGACTGTTTACTCTATCTCTACCTCATGCCAACGCAAACACAATTCTCCGGAAAGCATGCTCTCTTTTACTGGTAGAGAATTTCCCACATGGAATTCATCAGAGGCAATAAAATAATGCTCTTACCCTTCTTTACATCTTGCAGAAAAGAAACCTGTACTCATTTTTCTTCTGATCTCAAAGGAAAAAGGACTCACTTGAAGACCAAATGTATACTCTATTTCCCCTCTGTTCTTTGATTTTGAATTTTTTCCTATGTTAGATAGAAGGCTTTAAGCTTATTAACATATATGCATATATGTATATATATACACTTTTTGTTCTTTAATTTTCTATTTTTCTGTTATATAGAGGGCGTTAAGTTTATTAGCATATATGTTTATGTATATGGTTTGTATATATTACTGTATATATGGCAATATATATGGCATATGTGGTTATATATACACATACAATAGAACTTAGCAATTTAAATAGATTATTTGAGAGGGTAGTAAAAACAAATTGCTTAAAATAAAATTCATTAATTAATCGGCTCAATGATGATTGTATCTACCTTTTGTAGGCAATATGAGTGATCTAACATGACTTTGGACAGGTAATAATGTGACAGAAGTAAGCAATGATGAACTGCTAAAGAATTCAGAGAATTCAGAGAAGTGAAATATAGACATGCAATAACCAAGACATGGAATGGATGTTGGCTCTTTAAGTAATAGTTAAGACAGGTGCCAGTGGCTCATTGTGTAATCCTGGCTAGTCAAGAGGTTGTGAGCTGAAGACTGAGGCGCAAAGCCAGCCCAGAAAGGAAAGCCCAAGAGACTCTTATTGCCAATTCACCACTAGGAAGCCAGACAAAGAGCTGTGGCTCAAGTGGGGGAGCACTAGCCTTAAGCAAAAAAAGGCTAAAGAACAGTACCCAGGCCCAGAGTTCAGTCCAGATTCTGGTACAAACAAACAAAATATCAAAAATACTATTTAGAAAGCACCAGGGAATGTAATAAGGTAAAAAAAAAAAAAAAACAACAAAAAAAAAACCCTAATGAGTCTGTTTGACTCTGTTGCTGAACACGAAAGAGAAAGCAGTGTGTTTCAAAGTAAAACAATAGGAGGTTGGGAAATTATATCAAATAAAATTTGGGGCATCACAAAATCAAGGAACAGTATACGTTAATGATGATGATAGAGAGCACTTGTCAGTTCTAAAGCCAAACACATGCTTAAAATTATGCTTAATAAGTTTTTACTTATTAACTTACATGTTCATAAAAAGCATGATGTTTAGCACGTTTTTACATTCATAAAAATAAAAGCATGCTTATAAAATATAAAAATAGGTAAATGCCTATTAGAAAGGAAAAAGGGGTAAGGGAGAATGATAAAGCTAGGGAGCGATTGCCTAGAATATGTTGTACATGCCATGGCAATGTAAAAGTGAAATTCCCCCTTTGTATAGCTAATGTATGCTTACATTATACATGACATTGTATGTGTGTACATACAGACACCTACATCCATGCCCGAATGTGTATACATCATATACACATGCAGGCACATATATGATGTATGCGTATGCATGGAGTGGCTCATGCCTGTAATCTTAGCTAGTTGGGAGGCTGAGACTGGGAGAATCATGCATTGAGGGAAACCTGCCCAGACATGGAAGTTCATAAGATGCCTTCTTGACCAATAGCTGGGCACTGTGGCACACTCTGGACATCCCAGCTACCATTCCAGATCAGCCCAGGCAAAAAAAGTTCACTCTCATCTCAACAGAAGAAGCTGGGGGGTGTTGGTATCTACCTGCTAGCTATCTCAGTAAAATAAGAGGATCTAGGCAAAGGCAAAAGCATGAGAACCTATTTCCAAATAAGCAGTACCAAAAAAGGGTTTGGTTCAGTGGTAGAGCATCCTGAGTTCAAGCCAAAGTAAATAATAATAATAATAATACAAATAATAGAAAAGTAAAAATACAACACAAAAGTATAAAAGCTAAAATGCATTGATAAAATCAGATCTGTTTAAATTATATTTAATAATGATCTAGATTTTCTACTAGATTAAAATAAGTTAGAAGAGAAAGAAGCAAGATGACCTAGAGCTATCATTAGGACTCACTAGAGATTTTCTTAGAACTAGTGCCACCCGAGAACAGCTAATACCTGGTATTTATGAGTCTTGGTAACCGAGCCCTGAGATAATTGCCTCTAGAGTTGAGTGGTTTCCCAGATAAAGTGACAAGGTAACTCATCCCCAAACTATAGACTTTTGGAAGATTAAAACATTTTCAGCATCTAGTTAGTAGTCTCTTTTGGAAAGTATAAAAGTCTGTGAACTCACCATACACATAAAATGTACATAGCATCTTGTATAATGGTCTCCAAACACAATCTCTATGTCTAAGTTACACTACAGGACAGTAGTTTTACTCAGAAGAACAAGAATTGCACAATACCCCATACCTCTAATCCCAGCACTAGGCCTTGAGGTAGCATGAGCTACATATTGAAACTGTCTCAAAAACAAAATAGACAAACAAAAAATAGAACTTGTTGAGATGTATGTGTTTTTTGATTAACTTTTCCCTGTGATTTATGTTGGGATTGCTAACATTGCTAACACACTAATTTGGAGTAGCAGAGAATTAGTAGTAGTAGTATTACTATTTTAGTGCCAGTCCTGGGGCTTGAACTCAGGGCCTAGGCACTGTCCTTAAGCTTCTTTTGCTCAAGGCTAGCACTCTGCCCCATGAGCCACACCTCCACTTCTGGCTTTTTGGTAGTTTACTGGAGATAAGGGTCTAACAGACTTTTCTGTCCAGGCTGGCTTTGAACCATGATGCTCAGATCTCAGCCTCCTGAGTAGCTAGGATTACAGGTATAAGCCACTGGTATCTGACCCAGAGAATCTAACTAAAAATATCAAGACCAGGATGCTTTGTGTCATTTTATATCTGCTGAAGATATACTTGACATAATTGAAAGTAACAAAGGAATGCATTCATTGTTTGTTTGGGTTTTTTTAGTGCTCAGCTTCTTGTGGTAAAGGTATAAAATTCCGTGAAGTATTTTGTACAGACCCATTCCAAGGAAAACTAGAAGACAGATACTGCAGCCACCTCCGGAAACCTCGAGCTCACAAAGCTTGCCGTGCTGTCAGATGTCCTTCATGGAAAGCCAACAGGTGGAAGGAGGTATGTGCTATGCTTTATAATCATGCATGTTTCTATTTAAAAAGAAAATCCTAGCCAGGCGGTGCTGGTGGCTCGTGCCTGTAATCCTAGCTACTCAGGAGGCTGAAATCTGAAGATTGCAGTTCCAAAGCAGCCTGGACAGAAAAGTCCTTGAGACTCTTCTTGCTAATAAACTAATCAGAAAAAGCTGGAAGTGGTGGAGCTGTGGCTCAAGTGGTAGAGAGCCCTAACCTTGAGCAAAGAAATGCAAGGACAATGCCCAGGTCCTGAGGTCAACAAGTCTCAGTACTGGCATAATAAAATAAAATAATAGAAGAAATTAACAGAAGAAAATGAAAGAAAATAAAACCTAATCAATACTCACTTCAGCTTTTTTTTAAGGCCACAGCGATTCTCTCTTCAAGACAATGGAGATCTAGTTTTGGAAGCACCTTGTTTCGTGCATACCTAAATAATGCCTCGTTAGAATATTGTGACTGAGAGTCCCCATTCCTTACTTTATTATACAGGTCATCATATTCTGGTTTGACTTTATGCAAATGACTGCTTGACTTTCTTGGGCCAAGGATTTGCTGGAATGATGGCAGAGTATATTTCCCCAAGTGGGTGAAATGCCATAATGCCACACATATACCCAGTGCACAATGGCTGACACCCAAGTCTGACACCAGGCAATAGCGTTACTAGAGTAGAAGGGACAGATGGAGATATTGTGCCTGTGGGCCACCCACATTCCTATAGATCCCAAGGGTTGCTTAGCTGTTGTGTCTTTTTTTTTTTTTTTTTTTTGTGAAAATACTGTACAGAGGGGTTACAATTACATGGGCAAGATAATGAGTACATTTCTTATCAAGCATTGTAGCCTCCTCCTTTGTTTCCCCTTCCCATCCCATCCTCTCCTCCTACCTCCCCATTCAACCCTCCTCCCCCCCACCAAAGTTGTAAAGTTCGTTTTCGACATAACGTCTTGTACATCTCATTGTTGCAATGGGTCCACCTGTAACCCTATTTAAATGATTTGTTTTTTCTCTTCCCCTCCACAAATTATAACAACATCAAATACAGTGAAAGCAGGGGTTATACTGTGGGGGAGGGACATACAAAGCAACAAAGAAATAATCTTATAAATGTGTTAGAAACGATCGCATGAAAGAAAAAAAACATTTGAATACATATCTTAGGGTTCATTTTCCTAACATCAAGTTATCTGACCTTTTCTGCTTGACTCAGACTTATACTAGTAGCTGTTGTGTCTTGCTGATGCTTTGTCACTGATACTTATGAAGGACACATTCTGGCTCTAGACCTTTATCCTCAGAATAATGGTTCTATCATCTGTGCCAACCAGTTGACTTGGCCAGCAAGTTGAACCAAATATGAAAATTATATGAGACCCACGAAAGGAATGTATTCTTTCAAAGGTTTCAAAAGTACAGATCTAAACATTCAAAGACTCTGCAAGAGGTCTTTAGACAGATCTGCTTTTCTTCTCATGCAACTGCGTTTTCCTTGTCACAGAAATTAGCTCCATTTACTCAGTTTACTTTATTTACCCATGGTCTCCCAAGTCTCTGACAGAACTCTCTGCTTTTGATTCAGTCTTTAAAAAAAATGCCCACAGGAAGCGAACTACTGCAGGCTATGGCTGTATTACATGTAATCATGCATTCAGCAGAAGTGTAATTTTAGAGAGGCACCAATCACCATGTTCTGCTTTCTTCTTCCAATTATATACATGTTAATGTTTTAATAGAATCATTCAGTACAGAATAATTTCATTTTAGTATGATTTTATGTGATGTTGTAAATGGAAAGACTCATTTGGTGTATTTTTTAACATAGAGGCGTGCAGATGAGGATGTGTGTGTGTGTGTGTGTGTGTGTGTGTGTGTGTGTGTGTGTGTGTGTGTGTGTGCATGCACAGGTTCTGAGGACTTGAACTCAGGGTCTAGGGACTGCCTCTGAGATTTCGTGTTCGAGGCTAGCACTCGATCCTTTGAGCCGCAGCTTCTCATCTGGCTTTTTAGGGGTTCATTGGAGATAAGAGTCTCAAGAACTTTCCTTTCCTGGGCTGGCTTTGAACAGTGATCTTTATATCTCTGCTTCCTACATAGCTGAATTGTAGACACGAGCTACTGGTGTCCAGCTCAGATGAGTTTTAAAGGAGCACTTTACCCCCATTGTGTATTTGATAACTCTTTTTAAATACAAATCTTTAATAATACGTTTTACAGTGACTAGCTGTTAAGCTGAGCAGACATTGCTATATAAATCTATTTGTCTTCTGGGTCCAGATATATATCTTTAGAAGCAAATTAAATACTTAAATCATTTAAAAAGAAAAATGAATGAACCCCCACATACACACATTTCCTACGAGCAAGAGGAGAATGTTTGTCTCATTTAATGCTTTTGGTATTCCAGTAACAGTTGTAAATTCAAGGCTAGCACCTGTCTCAGGCTCCATCTGTTAAGTTAACTGTTGATCAAGTAGAAAATTGTTATACAAAGGGAAATGAATCCTCCTGCCTGGTAATTTGGAAAGAGATCAAAAGAATCCTACTTAACACCATTCCATCCAGAGCTAAGCCAGAAGGAATTAGCTTTTATTCCCTTATTTATGCTCATGATTTTTCTCTCAATTTTTAAGATCAAATCAAAGGTGATACAAGCTTCTGAACCTCACAAATATATGACCCAATGCCTCCATTGAAATCCCCCATACTTGAAAAAAAATCAAAATCATAGGCGGAATGTTTCTTTCTTTCTTATTTTTTAAGTAATTATCCAAAGGGGTTTCAATTTAACATGTCAGTTTATGAGTACAAAGCGTTTGGATCAATGCTACCCTTTCCATTTGTATTTGCTTTCACATTTCTTTGTTGCCACATACATCAATTGCTATTACTACACTCTGAAACATTTCTGTCATGCATGGTGGCCCAAGCCTGTAATCATAGTTGGGAGGTCGAGATCTTTGGGAGTTGGGGGAGATCATGGGCCCAGCAAACACAATTTTGAAATATTCCATCGCAATCCACAGCTGGGCATGGTGGCATTTGCCTGTCATCCCCAGTGACACAGAAAAGCACAGTCAGGAAGGTCAAAGCCCACACCAAGTCTGCGGAATCCAGACATCAAAAGCAAGACTCTTGCCTTAAAAACAACCAACACAAGAGTCTGATGACATGGCTCAAGTGGAAAGGAAAGAACTCTCACAAACACCCAAATGTATACAATACATCATACATACGTATGTGTGTATGTGTGTATGTATTTGCTGCCATTTCTGGGTCTTGAACACAGGGCCTTGAACCCAGGGTGATATCCCTGGGCTTTTTAGCTCATGGCTGGTACTCTGCCACTTGAGCCATAGCTATACATCCAGTTTATTTGGTGATTAATTGGAGATAAGAGTCTTTGAATGTTCCTACCCAGGATAGCTTCAAGCCACCATCCTCAGATCTCAGCCTCCTGAATACTTAACATTACAGGTGTGAGCTACCAGTGCCTGGCCACATTTTAATATTTTTCAGGCCCCAAATCCCCCAACCAAGACTCCCAAATCTCTTGATCTTCATTCCCAGGTAAGGAGTGTTCTCTTGTATTAGGCAGGCTAGACCTCAGAGACAGAAGAGAAAGCTTTTCTACCTAGGGCTGGACAACTTATATTTCTCAATTATTTGTAGCTAGTAAAGTTTTGAATTTGTATTCTGATGTTCTTTATTATCTTTGTTGGTATTGAAGATGGCTTTTAAGTTGTTCACTTAACTAATATTCCAATTTGGGATATGTGTCAATGAACTTTCCAAGGAAGAAATAATTAAATTTCAGTAAGAGAAGTGGACAAAAAATGTGTGTGTGTGGGGGGGGAATGGAGGAGGTAGACAGGGAATTCGCTTCCTGACTTCATCTAACAGACATTTCTTACAACTGTTCCAATTATTGCATTCATTATGCAAATGACAAAATAAGTATCTTTTGTAGATGAGTGGCCTGGAAATGTTGGGGAGCAGGGATTTGAACCCAGGTCTGTTTGAGCCAACAGTGCTTGCTTGCTGTCACAATGATCTCATTGTGATCATAGCACATCTCAATATTTCTTTGGCAACATGCTGTCCTGACCTGAGACACATGGCATCAACCATTGCAGGTTGCTGTTACAGAACATATGGAATTTTTAAGCCAGCAGCTTAGAAATGCCTATTATCCTGAGGTCTGAAGATCAAGGCTCAAAGCCAGCGGAGGCAGGAAAGTCCAGGAGACTCTTATGAACAATTAACCACCCCCAAACTGGAAGTGGAGCTGTGGCTCAAAGTGGTAGAGAACTAGCCTTGAGCAAAAGAGCTCAGGGACAGTGCCCAGGCTCTGAGTTCAAGCCTCCATGATTTTTACCCCAAATATATATTTCGAAGTTCCTTGTAGCTGGTGCTGGTGGCTCACAGCTGTAATCCTACTGACTCAGAGGCTGAGATCTGAGGATTAGAATTTGAAGCAAGTCTGGGCAGAAAAGCTCAGTTAACTTGCAAGAAAACATTAGTGGTGGTATGGCTCAAGTGGTAGAGTACCAGCCTTGAGCAAAAAAAGTCAAGTGAGAGCACATGATTGTGAATTCAAACCCTAATAGTGGCCCAGAAATGAGTATCGAAAGGCTCTGCCTCGATTGTGTGTGTGTGTGTGTGTGTGTGTGTGATTTGACATTTGTCAGCAGTGTCCGGCTCCTCTGGGCTTCTTTGCAGTGCTCTGTGACCTGTGGGCCTGGAGTTCAACGCAGAGACGTGTACTGCAGGCTGAGGGGCGTGGGTCGTGTGTCGGAGGAGGCCTGCAATGGCTCTACAAGGCCTCCCTTCCAGAGGCAGTGTTGGCGTGAGGATTGCCAACGGTACCGGTGGGTGGCTGGAGCCTGGCTCCACGTGAGTACTGACCGACAGACCTTCAAACACACTGCATAGAAGAAAGGGGTTACTTCCTAGCTACTCAGGAGTCTGAGATCTGAGGATCCAGCCTGGCAGGAAAATCATGAGACTCTTATCTACAATTAATGGGCAAAAAAGCTGGAAGTAGAGCCCTGGCTCAAGTGGTAGAGTGCTAGCCTTGAGCAATATAATAATAATAATTATTATTATTATCACAACAACAAACCCAGGGAGTGAGCCCAGGCCCTAACTTCAAGCCCCAGAACCAGCACATTAAAAAAAATGTATTGTTTGTCAGGTACTGGTGGCTCACACCTGTAATCTTAGCTGCTCAGGAGGCTCAACTATGAGGATTGAGGTTCAAAGTCAATCCATAGAGGAAAATCCTAGATTCTTACATCCAATTAACCAGAATAAAAGCCAGAAACAGTAGAGCTGTGGCTTAAGGGGTAGAGTGCCGCCTTGTGCTGAGTTAGTGAGGCCCTGAGTTCTAGCCATAGTACTGATGGAGAGAGGGGGGAGGAGGGGAAGAGGGAGAGGGAAGGGGGAGAAGGAAGGAGAGGGAAGGAGAGGGAGGGAAAGAAAGAGGAAGAGAGGAAGGAAGGAAGGAAAGAAGGAAGGAAAGGAAGGAAGGGAGGGAGGGAGGGAGGGAGGGAGGGAGGAAAGGAAGGAAGGAAGGAAGGAAGGAAGGAAGGAAGGAAGGAAGGAAGGAAGGAAGGAAGGATTGCTCATATTTTCATTGTGTTCCCAGTGTTCACCATCGTGTAAGAAAAAAGAGACATACAGGCAAGTCAAGTGTGTGGATGCTAAAAACACCCAAGTGGATGAAAATCTCTGCCACGGGCTCACCAGACCCCCTTCAGCCAAAAAGTGCAGGAACCCACTCTGCAAGTATGTGGTGGTGACAGCAGACTCATCACAGGTAAGGGCCAAAATATGTGTCCAGTGTCCTGTCAACAACCAGGAACAATTTGGCTATCAAGCCCTATATAGTTGCTTAGTGTTTGAAAACAGAGTCTTATATAGTTTTAGATTATGTATTTAGGGCTTTGCTATATTGTGAATTAATTTTGCATGGGATTTGAGTCAGCATCCAACTTCAATCTGTTGCATATGGCTAATCTAGTCCCCTCACATCCTTTGTGGGGAAGGTGATCTGCTGAGTTTTGCTGAAAATCAAGTGCAGTGATTTATTTCTAAACTCTCAGCTCAGTTCCTTTGGTCTGTATGCCTAGCCACACATAATAACCACATTCTCTGGTTTTTGTTATTTAACCTTGTGAGATCAGGGAGGTTTTATTTATTTATTTTTATTTCTTTCTCTAGATCATATGTCTATGGAGTCCCTTACATTTCCATACAAATTTTAAGACAAACTTGCCAAATTACGTGTAAGAGAGCCAATTAAGATTTTATGAGAGATTGCAATAAGTCTTGGTCAAATTGAGAAATATTTCTATTTTAATAATATGGTCTTCCATTCCATGAACATAGGCTGTTTTACAATTTATTGAATTCTCATTGAATTTCTTTCAAAGATGTTTTGTTATTTTCTATGTAGAAAGTTCACATTTTCTTTTTGTTGGGTTTATTCCAAAATGTCTTATTATTACTTTCTTTTCTCCCCTCTCCAATCCTGGGGCTTGAACTCTGGGCCTGGTCACTGTCCTTGAGCTTTTATACTCAAGATTAGTACTCTACAATTGGAGCCACAGCTCTACTTCTGGCTTTTGGTTGTTAATTGGAGATAAGAGTTTCAGGGATTTTCCTGCCCAGTCTGGCTTTCCACTGTGAACTTCAGATCTCAGGCTCCTGAGTAGCTAGGACTACAGGCATGAGCCACCAGTGCCTATTTCTTTTAAGCTTCTTTTCATGGAACTGATTTCTTATTTTCATTATCTGTTTATCTATTGCTACTGTAGAGAAAGAGATTTGATTCTTGTATATTGGATATGTTTATCAGATGTGTGTGTGTTGTGTGTAATTATTGCATATAACTATTCTTTTTATAAATACATTTTTTATTGTGAAAGTACTGTACAGAGGGGTTGCATATAACTATTCTGTGTATAGCATCATTTCATCTTCAAATAGAGATTTACTCATGGAACTTAAATAAATGGCCCTGCTGCTGAAGTCTTTGATTAATGTCTGGAGTACTAAAACATTGATCTGAAGAATCCTGCCAGTTTCTTTTTTTTTTTTGGGTCCAGTCATGGGGCCTGAACTCTGGGCCTGGGCGCTGTCCCTCAGCTCTTCAGCTCAAGGCTAGCACTCTACCACTTGGGCCATAGCGCCACTTCTGGCTTTTTTTTTTTTTTCTGCTTATGTGGTGCTGAGGAATCGAACCCAGGGCCTCATGCATGCAAGGCAAACTCTCTACCACTGAGCTACCTTCCCAGCCCCTCCTGCCAGTTTCTTAGTTGCTTTTATGAGGGAGAGAATTTTTAGATTTCCTAATTCTGCCATTTTCACCCTTTATACTCCCCAGAATATGTTCTGATTAAGGACTTCTTTTTGTTATGTTATATTTTCTGTTCCATCGCATGTTGACTATTTTACTTTATTAATCACTACTTATTTTTATTTATCATTCATTATTTATTGTTATTTATTATTTGTTTGTTAGACACTGTAAATTTTGTCTTTTGGTTCCTGATCTAATATATATATATATATATATATATATATATATATATATAATATCTATCTATATCTATCTATCTATCTATATATATATATATATATATTGGGCTTTATTGTGGGAAGTAATTATTTTGTCTGGAAGCTTTTGGGTTCTCTTTGGCTTTGTTAGGCAGCCAAGCTCGGTGGCTCAAGGTTGTAATCCTAGCTACTTGGGAAAAGGAGATTGGGGAAGAATAGATCTTAACCAATGAGCATGTATGATATTATCTGTCATCCAAAGTTAGAGAAGAATCCCAGTGGCTGGGTACAGTGGTGTAGGCCTGTCATCTCAGGGATAGGAGGATTATAGTCCAGGCTGGTCTGAGCATAAAGACCCTATTTCTATCATATCCAACACAAAAGGGACACATGTAGTGGCTCACATGATTCAGTGCCTGCTTACCAAGTGTGAGACCTTGAGTTTATTTTTTTATATTTATTTATTTTTACTATCTTTAAGTAGTTGTACAAAGGGGTTTCAAGTCCATATGTCAGCTTGAGTACAAGGCATCTTGATCAATGTAACCCCTCCCACATTCTCCCTTGCATCTCCCAACCCATTCCCTCACTTTTCCTAGTTCTATTTTCACATATAGACATTCAATATTATGTCTTCTTCTTCTTTTGAATTGCCCAGACCTGGGCTTGAATTTATGGCTTGGGCACTGTCCCTGAGCTTCTTTTGTCAAGGCTAGCACTCTACCCTTGAACCACAATGCCATTTCCTGTTTGTTTGTGTGTGTGTGTGTTTTGGTAGTTTATTGGAGATAAGAGTCTCACACAGACTTTCCTAGCCTAGCTAGCTTTGATTGTCAGGTCTCAGCCTCCTGAGTAGCTAGGATTACAGGCATGAGCCACTGGTGCCCAGTCTATTATAACTTCTTAAACCCTAGTAATGCCCATCCCCTGCCACAAAAAAAAAAAAAAGTTAGGCAAAATGAATCCATTACCTAATCTCTGATGAATTATCTCCCTCCATGGTGACAAATACTTCTTGAGCATTCTACCCATTGTTCTGTGTGTAAAGCTATTTCTAGTCTGGTTGGAGGGACTCACTAAGTATCAGGACATCTTCCTGTCTCCTGGTAATTATGTATTTCTCAGTGTACAGGAAACTGTGGACTTAGCTATCCGCAAAGGATTACTTACTGCATTGGGATCCAGTCTACTAAGAGACACAAGCCGCATCAGCTTTGGCCTGTTCAATACCGAGAATGTCCCATGCTGCCTTCCCCTCATCTTCACAAATGTGACACTAGAAATTGTCTGCATGTGGCCACGTGGAAAGTTGGGAAATGGAGCCAGGTCAGTGTATAAAACTATAATTTAAAGCCTTTTGCCTAAGATGTTATTAAGGGTGGGATGCTGGAAATCTGTACATCTAAAAAGATCCACAAAGCTATCTCATTACTTGTTGAAAAAAACCCACTTCATTGGTCATTTGTATACATATTTTATTTCTTTTTTGTTCATTGATCATTTGTGTACATATTTGATTCCTCTTTTATGCTTGCCATAGGTGACTTATTAGGAGAGACTTTAACAATAATTCATCTCTCTTCTTTAGAGAGCCCTGAACAGTAGTTTGCACTTTGAGTCTATGCTTAAGGAATGCTTATTAGTGGTGTCAGTGTCATGCATCTGTCAGGCACCTAGCTCCTTGGGGTGTTGAAATCAGAAAGACAGTGGCTCCAGGCTACTCCAAGGTGAAGGGAGGGGGAATTCACTGGATCCCATCTTGATAGAAAGAGTCTGGTATAGCATGCACTTGTAATTTCAGCTATAGCCAGAACATAAATAGGGAGATCGCAATTCTGGCCAGCCTGGGCCAAAAGTGAGATCCCCATCTCAAATACAGCCAGAGCAAAAAGGTCTCAAGCAGTAGTAATACAAGCAAAAGAACCTGCATTCAATCTTTAGTACTCCGCAACCAGAAAACATAAATAAATCAAATACAGGAGTAAGAACACTGTATTCCATATTTCATTGGCAGAAAGCACCTAAATAGTTCTTTACATGCTTAGCCTCAGGACACAATGAGAAAACAGCTGTCGCAGTTTCAAGAGCCTCCATTAACATTAAGTATGTACAGGCTGCTGCTGATATGGCTACACACAATAAATACAAAGAAACCATGGACAGGAATAATAGCCGTAGGTATATGCCTAAGCATTGTTTTCTGCCTATAGCTGTCCACATGCTAGCGGATTTTGGCATCTCTGGTAGTTCTAGACCTTCATCTTGTTCCGCAAGGGACCTCATCTGAGAGGCATGGATTTACCGACCTTTTAAATTGGTATATATCTTTTTTTTTAATTGTGAAAATACCATACAGAGGGGTTACAATTACATGGGCAAGGTAATGAGTACATTTCTTATCAAGCATTGTTGCCTCCTCCCTTGTTTCCCCTTCCCATCCCTTCCCATCTCCTCCCCTCTCACCCCCCTAACCGTTATATATCTTACCTTCATGTTTTCCTGTCTTCACAGTGCTCAATGACGTGTGGGACTGGGGTAATGGAAAGGAGAGTGGAATGCAGGCTTGAAAATGGTTGGCCCACAGACTTATGCCTGAAGCATTTAAAACCAGACTCGCAAAAGAAATGCTATGCTCATGACTGTAAGTAATTGATTTCAAGCTCTCCTGGATTCTAGGTGGCCCTTAAGAAATCCTAATTAAAATGTGAAAGTAGCTAGGCACAGTGGCTGAAACCTGTCATCCTAGCAACTTGGGAGGTAAAGATTTAGAGGATGGGGGCTGGGAAGGTGGCTTAGTGGTAGAGTGCTTGCCTACCATGCATGAAGCCCTGGGTTCGATTCTTCAGTACCACATACACAGAAAAAGCCAGAAGTAGCGCTATGGCTCAAGTGGTAGAGCACTAGCCTTAAGCACACAGAGGCTCAAGGACAGTTGCTCAAAGACAGTGCCCAGGCCTTGAGTTCAAGCTCCAGGACCAGCAAAAAAAAAAAAGGAAAAGGAAAAAAAAAGATTTAGAGGATGGAGGTTTGAGGGTAGCCTGGGTGTGAAACCCTATTTCCACACAGGGTAGCACACACTATGATCCAAACTGTGTGGGAAAAGCACAAATAGGAGGATTGAGGTCCAGGACATAAAGTGAGATCCTATCTGAAAAATAACCATCCCAGTAGATGGTAGAGTTGCTCAAGTGGTAGAGTACTTACTTAGCAAGCACCCTGAGCTCAAATTACAGTACTTCAAAAAGTGATGTAAACATTGCTGAGTTCTGTTTGGCTCATGCTTATAATCCTGGTTACTTCGGAGGCTGAGATTTGAAAATTGAGGTTCAAATACAGCCTAGGCAGAAATGCCCAGAAGACTCATCTTCAATTAACTAGCACAAAGCCAGAAGTGGAGGTGTGGCTCAAGTGGTAGAGCACCAGCCTTGAGTAGGAAAAGCCAAGCAAGTACACAAGACCCTGAGATCAAGCCTCAGTACCAGCATGAGAAAAAAAAAACACATGAAAATAAATGTATATGCATATTCCACAGAATGGATTGTCAGACGTTCACAGTGTAGCAGAATTCCCATGATCAAGTGCATGCTGTTTGTCATTGGTTTCATGTAATGATGTGTTGTGATTTGTCTTTGAAGGCAAATCATTGAGCACCTGCAAAGAAATCCAAGTTACACACAACACTACCAAGGATGGTGACTATTATCTAAACATAAAGGGAAGAATAATAAAGGTAGGAAGAAAACAATTCCTGATTACGTTTAACAGTGGCCATTGTCTTTGGGAGCTGTGGTCTGAATGCTTCTATTTTCTTTTAGGTCCATTGTTCAGGTATGAACACAGGGAACCCCATGGAGTACTTACCGCTTGTCAAAAGCGAAGACAACTTTTCTGAAGTGTATGGTCTGAGGTATGAGCGCTATTTGTCTCATGTGTACATCATTCGGTCTGAGATGTTCTAGCCTCATGCTTGATGCTGGAATAGTTCACATGGTCATTTGGGAAGAAGAGGACATATTAAGGCCATCTTTTGTCTTTGCCAGCTCCTTAATATAACAGACTTGAACAATCATATACAATCACAGATAGAATTAAAGGTATGAGTAGGATCATTGAGAGGGACTTGTGTGTATCTTCCCAGAAGTTAAATTTATTCTAGTAACCAAAACTAAGAGAATTCCATCTGAATTGTTTTTTTTTTACACACTGTCCTTGCATTTTTCTCTTTATGAATGGTTTTTGTTTCTTTCTTATTTAACATGGTAGCGCTATGATGCTCAATAGTAGGAGTAAGTCTTTTACTTTGCTCCTTCCAAAATTTACCATTTGTTCATGTTAGGGCCCAGTGATAGTGTCTAGTACTGAAAATATTCCCCTTGTTGTTCCAGATTAGAAAATCCACATGAATGTCCTTTTAATGGGAGTAGGAGGCAAGACTGTAAATGTAAAAATGACTACTTAGCTGCTGGATACACCGTTTTCCAAAAAATAAGAATTGACCTCATTTCTATGCAAATTAAAAGTAAGTACCAAGCTCATGCCTGTAACCCTAGCTATGCAGGAGGCTGAGATCTGAGGATCTTGGTTTGAAGCTAGCCTTAGCAAGAAAGTCTATGCGACTCTTATCTCCAATTAACCACCAAGCCAAAAAAAAAAAAAGTAAAACAAAGAAAGAAAGAAAAAAGAAAAAAAAAGAAATGAAAAGAAAAGAAAAAGAAAAAGGATTAAAATAAAAGCTGAGTGCTGGTGGCTTACTCCTGTAATCCTAGCTACTGAGGAGGCTGAGATCTGAGGTTCACAGTTCAAAGCCAGCCCATGCAGAAATGTCCCCATGAGACTCTTATCTCCAGTTAACCACCAGAAAACCAAGTGGAGCTATGGCTCATGTGGTAGAGCACTAGCCTTAAGAAGAGAAATACAGGAATGCAGGCTTACGGGCATTCTCCTCCCCGGCCCCCCCCCCTAAGTATTTAATCTGTTTTCCAAACAGAAGAGACTGTATTTGCTAATGAATAGTCTAGCCATATGCTGAGGTATGTCTCTGACAGCAAGATATAGGAAGGACTTGGGAATGGCCAACAATTAAACTTTTGTTTCTTTTCTTATTTTTATTTATTTTGTGTGGAAGTGCTTGAACCCAATACCACTCTTGCTTGCCTTTTTTCACTGAAGGCCGGTGCTCTATCACTGCACCACACTTCCACTTCTGACTTCATTTTTTAAATGTCTCTGGATACATTCTCATACATGACATACATCATGGAGCCCCTGAACTACTGTAGTAAAATTTGAACTACAGTGATGTAAAGTTATCTCCTTTCCAAGGAAAAAGTCTCTACCTTCAAAACCCCAACGACACTGAGTATCATGAAGAAAGTATTCTCAACATACTCACATGAGCTTTCTACAGGCTTTGCAACAGTCACTAACATCAGGGCATTGTAATCCTGGATAGTCACAGCCAGGCAGGAAAGTCTGTGAGACTCTTAACTCCAATAAACTGCCAAGAAAAAAGCTGGAAATGGAGCTGTGGCTCAAGTGGTAGAATGCCATCCTTGAGCAAATAAAGCTCATGGACAGTGCCCAGACCTTGAGTTCAAGCCCCAGGACTGGTACAAATAATAATAATAATGATAATAATAATAATAATAGTAACAGTTACAAATTGTAATGGATTAAGTGGTTTCCCACACCTTATCCATTTGACTGATTTTTTTTTAAATTTGGTATAAAAATTGGATAACCCTTACATTGTACAAACACTAATTATAGAGAAATCATGTAGAAATTAATTTCAGACATAGTAGTTATCTGTCTTACACATTCACTGGCTTTAAAATTTGATGTTATAAAGATACGGAGCAAATTGGAAAGTAAAGACTCATTCAGATCTGGTTCAATCCACCTGGCACACCACCTTCCCAGGGGATTCCCAAATTTTTGGAAGAGTGTGGAATGGTTGGAGAGCCACTTCGCAGATGGACTGAGTCTCTCTCTCTCTCTCTCTCTCTCTCTTTCTCTCTCTTCTTTTCTTTCTTTTTCTCTGCCTTCCTCCCTCCCTCTTTCTTTCTTTCCTTCCTTCCTTCCCTCTTTCTTTTAAATTTATTTCTTTATTGGGATTGATTACATAAATTTCACAATATTGTAGGATAGTGATACTTAACTAAAGTCACAAACACATTTTAACCTTCACAATGAATTGTCATTATAAAGCTTATGAACTCTACAGACTTTGACAATACAACTATTTCTTCCAAATAGGGTGATATCTACATTTCTTTCCTTTTGCTTAATGTAAGCTGTTGTTTGAATGTTTTTGTGCATTAGTTAACACAGATGTAACATCACCAAGGTTGCAAGTAATGGAATTAAGACTTACATAGGGAAGTTAAATAAATTTCCCTAATTCGTATTAACTGACTTTATTAGTCTTGTTCACAGAGCCAAGATTTTGGGTCTCATGCCACCTTTCTAGGAAATCATTTACTCTTCAATCAATCAATAAAATGTACTTACAGGAATAATGTAGCCTGGCCTACTGAAAGGTAGGCATTTGTAATTAAGAGGCAAAGAGTCACTTCAGAAGCAGAATCCTAGTTCAATCTTTATGAAATCACTAATGCCTAGCACATATATTTTGAGCTATTTGCATACTGTATCTGCAAACTGTATTATATATTTGCATGCATAATGTCTAAGTTACAATTGTTTCATGATTATTTATTTATGCCAGTACTAGGGCTTGAATGCAGGGTCATGTACTCTTGCCTAGCTTTTGCTGTTCAAGGCTGGCACTCTACCACTTGAGCAACATCTCCACTTCCAACTTTCTTCTGATTGATTGAAGGTAAGAGTCTCAGGACTTGAATTCAGGGATTGGGTGCAGTCCCTGAGCTTTTTTAATTCACCAGGCAAGGTTGATAATATAAAGGTGATGAACAGTTATGTAAGTTAGGTGGTATATTGAATATTATGAGCGCATTTGCCCACCCTTCTTCTCTACATTCATGTTCCCACCCTCCTTGTTTCTTTTCTTTTTCTTTTTTTGGTTGGTTGTGGGGCTTGAACTCTGGGCCTGGGTGTTGTCCCTGGGTGTTGAGCTCTTTAGCTCAAGGCGAGCACTTTGCCACTTGAGCCACAGAGCCACTTCCAGTTTTCTGGTGGTTAATTGGAGATAAGAGTCTCATGGACTTTTCTGTCCCAGCTGGCTTTGAACTGTGAACCTCAGATTTCCGCCTTCTGAGTAGCTAGGATTACAGATGTGAGCCACTGGCACCCGGCCCCACCCGCCTTTTGAGCTTTCCTTCCCTTGACACTTTAAGATCCAGCTTCCTGATACTTATTTTGTTAGACTTGTAAGTTAGTTGCTCAAAGGAATGATACCATTAGAATCCTCCTCTGCATAGACCATACTTTGGTTATTATATTTATGTGTATATGTATGTGACCCTGTATTTGTTTACATATATATTTGTAAATTAGATCTAACTTTCCTGAGAGAAGACATGTTGACTATGACTCTTTTTTTTTTGGGGGGGGGGGTCTGGTCATGGGGCCTGAACTCTGAGCCTAGGCGCAGTCCCTCAGCTCTTCAGCTCAAGGCTAGCGCTCTACCACTTGAGCTACAGCGCCACTTCTGGCTTATTTTTTTCTGCTTATGTGGTGCTGAGGAATCGAACCCAGGGCCTCATGCATGCAAGGCAAGCGCTCTACCACTGAGCCCCCTTCCCGACTATGACCCTTAAGCCTCAATTCTCCTACTTAAGGGACTGAGATCTGAGGACAGCCGTTTAAAACCAGCTCGGCAGAAAAGTCTGTGAGATGCTTTGTTTCTAATTAAGCAGCAAAAAGCCAGAAATGGAGGTTTTTGGCTTACGTGGTAGAATGCCTGCCTTGACTGAAAAATGTTAAGGGGAACACAAGGCCCTAAATTTAAGCTCCAGTGTCAGAATGTGCATGTGTGCATGCACACTCACACACGCACACTCACACACACACACACACACACGGAAAAAGAAAAAGAAGAAAGAAGAAAATAAATACCTTACCAGAAGCTATTTCTGCTGTTCCCCAACCTCAGACTTTCTGCCTTCACAACTGTGAGCCATGAGAAGGGGTCACATGATCATGCCTAAGCTAGCCTCAAATCTAGATCCTCCCAATCTCAGCCTCTCAGGTAGTTACGATTACAGGCATAAGCTCAAACCACTGGTGCTCAGAGTGAACATTTTTGTATTAAAGAAAATTTATTCAGCGAGAGCTTGTTCTGTGTTCTGTATTATACTTGTGGCCTTTTTGTTTAAATTTTATATAGGCCCATTTAAGACAAAGAGTGTAAATATTGTATATTGACAGTAAAGATGACATTGTTCTCCCTTGTTTTTCTTGTGCCAGTAGTGGTGCTTGAACTCCTGGCCTCATGCGCTCATTTGTCTTTTCCACTCTGAGCTGATGCTTTACGTTTTGAGCCACACCTCCACTTCTCTTAATGCTAAGAAGTCTCATGTATTATTTTCTAGCAATGGACCTTCTTTATTCCCAGACAATATTTGGAAAGACAGTTCCCTATGCCACGGCTGGAGATTGCTACAGTGCTGCTAGATGCCCGCAGGTATTTCTGATCATTTTTCCTTTACTATTAAAAACGTTTATCCTTGTTGCCTTAAAAATATTACAAGAAAAGAAAAGGAATGTGCAAACATAGAAATGTTTACAAGATATTTTTTTTTGTCGGCCTTGGGGCTTGAACTCTGGGCCTGGGCGTTGTCCCTCAGCTCTTCAGCTCAAGGCGAGCGCTCTACCACTTGAGCTACAGCGCCACTTCCGGTTTTCTGGTGGTTTATTGGAGATAGGAGTCTCACGGTCTCTCCTGCCCGGGCTGGCTTTGAACCGTGATCCTCAGATCTCAGCCTCCTGAGTAGCTAGGATTACAGGCGTAAGCCACCAGCGCCCGGCGATTACAAGATTTTTTAAAAGAACTAATGGACAAGAATTTTGAATCATTTAGACATAGGGGTGTGGTGTGTGTCTGAATGATTATATATACCATATATATAAAAATAGAAAAATAAAATATAAAATACAAAAAAAATGCTGTCACCTGCACTTCTACCACAATGTCCTCATCACCAGAAACCCAGCCAAATGGGGTCATCAGGGTTGAACTTGAACATTCAAACCAGGACCCAAACCAAACCTTTTCTAATCAATATGCAAAACAAGTTATTCTATTACCTCTGAGATGGAAAAAATATATTTCAATAATTTAATTCCTTCTTTTTAATGTCTTCTTTCTAGATGTTTTCTCATACATTTTTTCATGTCTTTGTATGACTTCCAGAATGTGTTTCCTAGAGGAAATTTTGCATACCTCCCTCTCCCTCTCTCTCTCTCTCTCTCTCTCTCTTCCCCTCCCTTTTTTGTGTCAATCTGTTCTTGAGCTCTTTTGCTCAAGGTTAGCGCTCTCCCACTTAAGTCACACCTCCACCTTTGACTTTTTGGTGTTTAATTGGACATAAGAGTCTCTCTCACAGGCTTTCCTGCCCTGGTTGGCTTTGAACCATAATCTGCAGATCTCAATCTCCTGATTAGCTAGGACTACAAGCACAAGCCACCAGTGTTTGGCTGGGATCTCATGTCTGATAAGGGATTTTGTACAGTTTACACAAACAATATTTTTATGATAAGGCAGGGAATTGTAAGCTAGGTGAATATAGCAACGTTGGGTATATTCAAAGCTAATTGAATGCATGAATCACATCTACTACCCAGCAGATAGCAATTAAAAGTCTGCTATCATCTTGAAGAGAAGTTGTTGGTGTTTTGCTGAAGTCTTTTCTACTTGGAATTCTTTATTAACAACTTTCACATGACATATAAAACATGTTTATAGTAGGATTAGAGGGATATTGTCTATATTAGAGAAGACTTAAGAGAGATCAGAAGAGATTAAAACTAAAGTCTGAGATAAATAAGAAAACCTAACGAAGAAACAGACAAATCTCAAGTCCAGTAACTCCAGTAGAACCTAGAAATGTTATGAGAGAGTCTTATTTCACTCAAACACTAAATTCAGTGTAACTCAAAACATAGAGTGATTTATAAACAGCCTCTAACATAATCATAAAATATTAAAACACATTTTTGAGTTTGCAAAGTTTACTTGCTAATTGACTACTGGAATCTCATATTTTAAAGTTTCTGTTCTCAAAGGTTAATTTTTAATCTACCAGATAATTGGAGGAGATTGCTAAGAGAAGGAATTTTAAATTATGTCATGTAAAGAGAGTGAAGAACTTAGTAAAAGAACTCGAGGTGATAAATATTTAAGAATGTAAATATTTAAGAATTACTGTAGAAGAGTGAGCTTATCTGTGTTATTCTAGGAAAAATTATTAAGGCAAAGGTGAGCGCCAGCAGCTCACACCTATAATCCTAGTTTCGCAGGAGGCTGAGATCTGAAAATCACAATTCAAAGCCAGCCCAGACAGGAAAGTCCATGAGAGTCCTGTTAACCAGCAAAAAACCAGAAGTGGAGCTATGGCTCAAGTGGTAGAGCACTAGCCTTGAGCAAAAGTTCAGGGACAGTACCCAAGCCTTGAGTTTATGCCCCAAGACCCACATCTATATCTGTCTGTCTGTCTGTCTATCTATCTATCTATCTATCTATGTATCTATGTATCTATGTATATATATATATACATGTATGTGTGTATACATATATATATATATATTTGTCAGGGAGAATTGTCTAGTTAAATAAACTTCAAATCAGAGATACAATAGTCAATATTTTCGATATAATTTTGTTGTTATTATTAAGGTGTTGTACAGAGGGGTTACCATTTGATAAGTCAGGTAATGAGTACAGTTTTCCTTCTGGACAATCTCCCTCTTGGCTTTATTTTCATAGGTAACTCTTGCATCCTGAAACCCTGTTGAGTTGATCAGTGATAATAGCTTTTCTAGTAGATTTCTGATGAGTTGCTAAATGCACGATGAAATCATCCATGTACAAAAACACACTTTTTTTCCTTTTCAATTGGGATAGCTTCTATCTCTTTGCCCTGGCAGCTCCCTCTGGCGCAGTGCTGAGTGGTAGAGAGTGACCACGCTAATGTTCCCATTGTAGGTGGACAGCGCTGGGATCTTCTTCATTAACTATTGTATCTGTGAGTGGTTTGTAGAAGTCTCTGGCCAGGTGGGGAAAAGTGCCCTTCTCTTCTAAGCTTACATGCTGCTATTAGCAAAGGGAGCCAAGCGCTGGTGGCTCATGCCTGTCTTCCTAGCTACTCAGGAGGTTGAGATCTGAGGAACATAATTTGAAGCTAGCCTGGGCAGCGATGCACCAATTAACCAGCAGAAAGCTGGAAGTAGGGATGTGGCTCAAGTGGTAGGGCTCCAACTTTAAGGGAAAAAGCTGAGTGAAAATGGGAGGCTCTGAGTTCAGGCCCCAGTAGGGGTACAAATAGGAAAGAGGGAGGTGAGGGAAGAGGAGGGCAGAAAGACAGGAGAGTTCAACTCTAATTTCTCCTGCATTTATTGAGATGATCCTATGATGACTGCCCATTATTATCTTGCTAGAGTATGGTATTCTCATTGACTTTCCTGTGTTAAAACAAGCTTTCATTTCTATGATTAAGTCACAGTGCATAATATTTTTTTTTACGTCACTGGATTGGGTATCTTAATGTTTGGTTAAGAAATTTTCATATTCAGTCGTAAGAGATATTATTCTTCCATTTTTTCTCTTGTATTGGCTTTGAGTTTCCAAGGAGATATTCAGCCTCATGGAATGAGTTAGGAAGTATTCCTTCTTCTTCTTCATATATATATATATATATATATATATATATATATATTTTTTTTTTTTTTTTTTTGGTCTTGGTTGTGGGGCCTGAACTCTGGGCCTGGGCACTGTCCTTCAGCTCTTCAGCTCAAGGCGAGTGCTCTACCACTTGAGCCACAGCGCCACTTCTGGCCTTTTTTTTCTGCTTATGTGGTGCTGAGGAATCGAACCCAGGGCCTCATGCATGCAAGGCAAGCGCTCAACCACTGAGCCATCTTCCCAGCCTTCTTCCTATACTTTGGGAATTATTTGTTGACACAAATTCTTTCCTGTGGTTTTCTTTGTAAAAAAATAAATTGCTGACTAATTGAATGTCTTTATTCATTGCAGATGCCTTCAGCTTTTTCTAGCTTTCCTTTCATCACTTTTGGTCATTCATATCATTTTAGAAATTCATCCATTTCATCTGAGTTAATGAATTGGTTGTAATGTATTATATTGCTAGTATCCCTTTATATTCTTTCATATTTTTATTAGCTTATCAGTGCCCTTACCCCTCTTTCATGACTTTAGAAATCTCTCTCTCTCTCTCTCTCTCTCTCTCAAAAATTAAATTATTGGATCAGTTGAGCTTTGTTAGGCTTGCTCTTTTAAGAAAGCCATTGTTTGGATTTATTCATATTCTCTATTGTTTTTCATTCTTTATTGTATCCATTTCCACTCTACCCTTTATTAGTTCTTCTTGTGCTTGTCCTAGATTTTTTTCTAGTGTCTTAAGGTCAAATGATCCTTTTCTAATATATATATATATATATATACACACACATACTTATAGCTGTAAGTTTCCTTTTAAGTACTTGTTTTGCTACATTTTGGATTTTTTATGTTGCGTGTTTATTTCGACTTAAAACATTTTTTATTGTCATGTGTGATGTCTTCTTTGAATCTCTGGTTATTTACGAGTGCAGCAGCTATTCGGTTTCCAAATAGTTGTGAATTTCCCGAATTTCCTTCTGTTTTTGGTTTCTACTTTCTCTTCATTGTGATTGGAAAACAAACTCTGGATTATCTCAGTCTTTTTAAATTGGTTGAGGCTGGTTTTGCAGCATATCACACGGCTCATCCTGAGGAAGGCTCTGTGCGTGCGTGCAGAGAATGTGAACTCGGGTTTGGTAGGGTGGAGTGCTTGCAGAACACAGGCTATGGTGTGCAGTGATGTTCAGTAAAGTTCCTTGTTGATCTCCTGCCAAATTGTTCTGTCCACAGAAACCTTGCAGTTATTGTAGAATGATCAGCCTTTTTGTTCCGTCTTATCATATGTACTTTGTTTTGTTTCAGTTTAAGAGTTCTGTGGCATAGGATGACATGTTCTTGATTATCTTAATTTCTTAACAGATTGACTATTTTACCACGTTAACATTTCCCTCTTTGTCTATGGTAATATTGTGTGTGTGTGTGTGTGTACTGGAGCTTAAGCTCAGAGGTTGGGTACTTACTCTTAGTTTTTTTCACTCAAGGCTGGTGCTCTACCACTTGAGCCATTGCTTTACTTCCAGCTTTTTGATGGACAATTAGAAATAAGTCTCACAGACTTTTCTGCCTGGACTGGTTTGAACCATGATCCTCAGATCTCAGCTTCCTGAGTAGCTAGGATTATAGGCATGAGCCATAGCCGCCTGGTCAAGATATTTTTTGATAAGCATAGAATCTGAATAAAAAGTATCTACATAATCAGGATTTTAAAGAATAAAGCATCTATTTCTATTTTGTCTTTAACACCTTTTCTGCAGCTCAAGGTAACCTCATCCCCCCCCCAAAAAAAAAAATCTCAAAAAATTATGTAGCCCTAACGTGCCTTACCCAAGATTATAATCAGAAAGACAGACATTCCAGGTCAATGCTCACTCTAAGGTCCTTAAGAAAACCAAACATAGGGCTGGGAAGGTGGCTCAGTGGTAGAGCGCTTGCCTTGCATGCCTGAGGCCCTGGGTTCGATTCCCCAGCACCACATAAGCAAAAAGAAAAAAAGCCAGAAGTGGCGCTGTGGCTCAAGTGGTAGAGCGCTAGCTTTGAGCTGAAGAGCTGAGGGACAGCGCCCAGGCCCAGAGTTCAGGCCCCACGACCGGACCCAAAAAAAAAAAAAAAAAGAAAACCAAACATGGAGCCAGCAGTAAAGTGCCTCTCTCCGCCCTGAGGACAGGGCACTTTCATTTCATGTTTTGTGGGGGACATTTCTAAAAATGCAGAATTTTATTTCAAAATTAGATAGATGTTGCTGAGCATTGGTGGCTCACACCTGTTATTCTAGCTCCTGAGGAGATGGAGATCTGAGGAATGCCATCTGAAACAAGCCCAGGCAGGAAAGTCCATGAGACTCTTATCTCTAACCAGCAAAAAGCTGGAAGTGGAGATGTGGTTCAAGTGGTAGAGAACCAGCCTTGAGCAGAAAAAGCTAAGGGACAACACCAAGGCTGTGAGTTCAAGCCTCAGTACTGATGCGCACGCGCACACACACACACACACACACACACACACACACACACACGTTCTTGGAGCTAGGTCCCTGATTTCAAAAGGAATTGTCTCATCTATATGCCATCTGTATTTACCTGCCCGAGGCTCCTGTTTTCTAAATAAAAATTGCCCAGTGGTTTTGGAGAGGTTCTGTCAAATGTAGAAACCAAATTCTGAGTTCAGTTCCACAGCATTGGCATCAATGCCCTGCAGATGTTTGATGTCACTGAAAAAACTTCTTCTGTTTGAGATTCATCACCATCACGTCCCCTGTGTTTGTGTAGGCCTCATACACCAGGGTATGAGCGCTGCAAAGAAGATGGACACAGATGGTGTGTTTTATTTAGAGAAAATAAACTTCACCACATTGCAAGGTGTGATATTGAAGGAGCGGGATCTGACTGGAAAATATATACATCAAACCAATAGAACTGTTCTTAAATGTTCCTAAAGTTTCACAGATCCAAATTCAGCTCTCACGTCCATCTCAACAGATGCACATCTTGCTTATGTCGTAATTCATATTTGCTTACATCATAAAAGTAAGAGAAATAAGCACATTGGGAGAATGCCCATAGATCCTGGCCAGGGTTTGGGGTTTTTACTGATTGTTACATGTACGGAATGTGTATATGTGTTCCTCTACCCTTTAACTGGGTTATTTAGGACATTTATTTCCCACTGGGCGTATCTAATTTTCCCCTTATAAGGGTGGATCTGTCTCTGTCTCCATGCCCTTCTGCTGCACTTTTGCTTCCTGAAAGTTCTTGCTGTGAACTGGGCACCTGTGGCTCATACCTGTAATCCCAGCTGAGGCTGAGACCTGAGGATCACAGTTTGAAGCCAGCCTGGGCAGCAAAGGCCATGAAACACATATCTAATTAACCAGCAAAAGCCTAGAAGTGTGGCTCAAATAGTAGAGAATTAGCCCTTGAGCAGAACATGGTAAGAGAGCAGCTCAAGTCCTTGAGTTCAAGCACAAGTATCGGCACGGAAAAAAAATGCATGCTATGTTCCTTGACGTGAGAATTACACGTTGCAAGGCAATTGGAAATTGGAAATGTTTTATTCTTAAAAATAGATATTAACCAGGTACTGGAGGCTGATGCTACCATCCTGGCTACTCCAGAGACTGAGATCTGAGAGTTGTAATTCGAAGCCAGCTCTGGCAGGAAAGTTTATGAGCCTCTTACCTTCAATTAACTACTAAAAGGCTAGAAGTAGAGCTGTGACTCAAGTGGTAGAGCACCAGCCTTGAGCACAAAAAAGCTCAGGGACAGCACCCAGGTGCTGAGTTCAAGCCCGAGGATTGGCAAAAAACAAAAGAACTATTTTGACACAGATAAGGTAATATGTTGTTAGTTCTGTTATCATTTGAAATTGAGACTTACTTGTGTGTATATGTGTTTATACATATAAACACATACATATGTATGCATATATTTAGACACATACACATATCTACACATACATACACTTATACATAAATACACATACCTGCATACATACATACACTGGGGTTTGAACTCAGGGCATGGCTGCTGTCCCTTAGCTTTGTTGTTCAAGGATAGTGCTCTACCACTTGAACCACAGCTCCACTTCTGTTTTATTTTAGTGGTTCATTGGATGTAAGGAGTCTTATAGACTTTCTTGCCTGGGCTGGCTTTGAACCATGGTCCTCAGATCTCAGTATCTTGAGTAGCTAGGATTAAACTATTTCACTGGTTCCATGTCTTTGTAGTAAAGTTATATCAGTAGTCTTTCTTTTTTTAAGGAAGGGACTTGGAAGGCATACAAATCATTTGACATTTCTAGCCAAGGACATTCTTCTGAAGCATTGTATGGCTCCATCTTGTTTCCTTTACAATCCAGGGCCAGTTCAGCATTAACCTGACAGGAACTGGGGTGAAGATCTCCAGCACGGCGAAGTGGCTCGCTCAGGGGAGGTACTCCTCCGTCATTGTCCACAGATCCCAAGTAAGTGCACCTGGAACAAAGTGCTCCAATTGTCCCCAGAGGCCCTCCATCTCAAATGTAAGATGACCTAGAGCAAAGGGCTAGAGTTATTGCACATTGCATATTGGGCATAACCATTCATGATATGGGGTTCTACATTCATTTTATTTAAAATATATATGTAGAGGTTATATCTAATGAATCCCCATATGGGCTACAGATACTTGAACACAAAATACTAAAGGAACCAAAAAAATACTAAAGGGAAGGATCTAGATGTTTGTTTGTTTGTTTTTGTCAGTCTCAAATTTGGGACTAACAATCTGACATTCTACTATTCCAGAAAGAGTGGGTTTCCAGTACCTTTCAAAGAGCTATAGAGTTTCATATTTCAACGTGTGAGTTAAGTGTTTGGTTTATTTATCTCACTACTTCAAGTGATGGAGGTTGTCAGTACCATTTGTTACTTAATGCATAGTCTTCACAGTGTTTTCAAGAGTTTAGGATGACTTATGTTATATCCGGTTCATATTTTCCTGGTTACCTTTAGATAACATTGTTTTTTGATCTGTGGAACTAATGACACAGTATTTCTGTGTGGAGTTGCAACTCTTTTATAGTCTACTTATATAGATATTGGGACTCTAGGAAATCCATTATTCGAAGTAGAGTTTATTTGATTTTGCTGCCGGAATGGCATATTGACATACACAGTTTTTTAGAGTTGCTTTCTGTTGCTTACCGTCTCTGTGTCTAAGGTAACACACCTCGAAATGTGCTCACTTAAATTGTTCATGTCAGCACAAGCCATACTCCTGTCCAGGCAATGTTTTCAGAGGTCTCTTTCTTTTGAAGAAAGTGTCATCCTTATTTACATGAATATTATTTATAAATGCACTGAAACATTCTGACATCCATAGCCTTTTAGACCACAAAATTATCTCTCAACTCATAATTAGAGAATTCTAATTTGTGATGTCTCTCTAACATGAGTAGATGAAATATTCCAAATGAATGTCTATTTGTAAATCCTTATTTGGCATGTTCAGGTCTAATCCTTTTGGGCAGAAGGCTGAAAATGAAATGATTTATATAAAGTCCATTCTGAGAAAGCATCTTGTAAAGACTTCAATGAAATACCTTGTCCTTCTGTATTGAGCAAAGACATCTTTGAGTTCAATCGAAAGACCGAATCCTAGTTGAAACCCCGAAGAAGGCATGGATATTTAGTTCCACTATTCATTTTGCTTCTGTTCTAAAGATAAATTCTTGACTTTTATTTTTTATTCTCTTTAGTTAGCTATACAATTCAACATGCCAGTTTATGAATCTAATTCTCCCCCAACAGTCCTAACCCCACCTCTCCCCTCCAGTTACCTGTTTCTATTTTGGACTATAATGAACTCTTTTCATTCACCATTCCTCAATTCAATTCCACTAAATTCTTTATTTAATTCATGAGGAAATTCTATCCCAAATCAAAGTGTTGCATATGACTGCATGATCTGAATAGGGGGCTGGCATATAACTCATGAAATCCAAATATATTTTGGAAATGGAAACATATTTCCATTTGCTACTGAGTTTAATCAAGATGAACTGTTTACCTCCACAATATATGCCAAAATGGAGAAATGGGAAAAACTGCATTTTTATCATCATTCCTTGTGAGTTTGGTCGGATTCTCTGGAGTTGAAAGAGCTTTTGAGAGAGAGAGAAAAAAAGCACCTTCAGAACTTCTGGTTTCAAAGCATTCTTTAATCTCAAAAGCCCTAAGAACCATATTTCCTCCTTTACGCATTCCTTCCTTCCTGTATTGAACATAATGACAGATTGGGAGCTGATAGCTGGCACTTGTCAGCTACTCAGGAGACTGAGATCTCAGGATCTCAGATCTCAGGATCACAGCTTAAGCTCGTTGGGGCTAGAAAGTCCGTAAGGTTCTTATCACCAATTAACCAACAAAAAGGTAGAAGTTGGAAATGTCATTTAAGTGGTAGAGCACCAGCCTGAACCAAAAAACGAAGGGACAATGACCAGGCCCCAGTACTAGCACACATACAAAACATAAGTCTACCTTCTCCAAAATATGGGAGGAATTCAATGTATTTTTGCTTCATTCTATCAAAATCTTCAGTCTTCAAAGAATTTTTTTTTAAAGCAAATTGTTCTACTAAGAAATATTCTCTCACTTTAGCTTTTCTTTTTTTCTTTCTTTTTTTTTTGGGGGGGGGGGTCCAGTTGTGGGGCCTGAACTCTGGGCCTGGGCACTGTCCCTCAGCTCTTCAGCTCAAGGCTAGTGCTCTACCACTTGAGCCACTGCGCCACTTCCGGCTTTTTTCTTCCGGCTTATGGGGTACTGAGGAATCGAACCCAGGGCCTCATGCATGCGAAGCAAGAGCTCTACCACTGAGCCACCTTCCCAGCCCATCACTTTAGCTTTTCTTAATCTAATTATAATTGGTGCTTTCAGCCAGCTACTGTCTCCTTGCTTCTATCCATTCCACCATGTTTCCATTGGATGCTGGAGGTGAGTGGGGTACAGTATGAGACACGTGCCTTCAATGTCTTTGTCTCATGACAGCAGAGAACCTTGCATAAATTTGTACACATATTGGACAAGAGAACTTGAGAGAGGTTTTAGTAAACTTTCTGATATTCAAATACATACTTCAGAGGAAAATATGTGGAAAGAGTTGAAGCACCTAAATTCTCATATAATTATCAAATACAAATCTTAGATTATAACTTTTCTATCACTTCCACTAATCACTAATCACTGCTACTGTCACTAATACTGAAAAGGTATAGTCTTATACTTCACATGTAATGGTTACCTGGTACTAGTGGCTCATGCCTATAATCCTAGCTACTCAGGAAGCTGAGAGCTGAGGATCATGGTTCAAAGCCAGCCCAAGCAAGAAAGTCCATGAGACTATTTTCTGCAATTATGTAGCAAACAAATAAAAAACAACTGGAGGTGGAGCTGTGGCTTAAGTGTTACAGTACCAGTCTTGAGCAAAAAAGCTAAGAAATAATGCCCAGGCTCCAAGTTCAAGCTCCTGTACTGGGGAAAAGAATATATGTATATACATATATATATGTATATACATACATACATATTTCATAGAAAAACTTGGTTAATGATTTCAGCCACATGGTTCAAAAACAGTTGCTTTTTTCCTGCTTTGGGCACACAATTACTAGGTTGTATATTTCTCATTTTAATTGTTTTTATTAGCATTAATAGTTCTACTAGAAATCTTTATATTGACATGTCTATATATGCATGCATGCAATGTTCCTTGATCAGACTCCTTGTTTCCATCCTGCTCCAACCAACTGTGTACACTTTTTTGGGGTGTGTGTGTGTGTGTGTGTGTGTGTGTGTGTGTGTGTGTGTGTGTGTGTTGCCGGTCCTGAGGCTTAAACTGTCCCCGAGCCTCTTTGTGTTCAAAGCTAGTGCTCTACCACTTGAGCCACAGCATCACTTCTGGCTTTTTTGAGTGGTTTATTGGAGATAAGAAGCTCATGAGGACTTTTCTGCCCAGGCTGGCTTTGAATCAGGATCCTCAGATCTCAGCCTCCGGAGTAGCTAGGATTACAGGCATGAGCCACTGGTGCCCAGCTTGTATTTGTACACTTGTATGTAAATTATTGACCATATTCACCCCTTTCCACTCCCCGTTACACTCTGTTTTCCCACACTCCAGGGAGAACCTGTTTTAGATTCCTGCTATTTATTGTTTTAGGTGTGTTACTTGTTAAAAGGCGTTTCAGGATTTATTTCACAAATGCACGTACAGTACTTTAATCAGACTGACCACCCTTGCTTATGCTCACTTCTCCCATCCATCCTAACTTCCCACTATTATTATTTTTTCTTTGCTTCTCCCTGGGGCTTGAGCTCAGGGCCTGGGCACTGTCCCTGAGCTCTTTTTGCTCAAGGCTAGTGCTCTATCACTCTGAGCCACTAATTTTCTAATAGTTAAGTAGAGGTAAGAGATTCAGACTTTCCTGCCCTGGCTGGCTTTGAACTGCGATCCTCAGATCTCAGCCTCCTGAGTAGCTGGGATTACAGACATGAGCCACCAGCGTCTGGCTCCATGGTTATTTAAGAGCGTTCAGTGTGCTTCACCATTTCCATCTTCATTCACAGGTGATCTACATTTCAGTGTTGCTCACCCTCTCAGCTTGTATATTTCTCCCTCGACTTGCTTTCAGGATGGAGCCAAGGTGTATGGGCGATGTGGAGGCTTCTGCGGGAAGTGCGCTCCTCACGTGGCCACCGGTCTTCCCATTCAAGTGCTATAAGCAGGCCCAGGAGGAAGGCACTGGAACCTGCAAACGACGGTGCTCATTCAGTTAGGCCTCCCATGCTGAGATTGCCAGGTGCAGGGAATCTCTGCATGGTTTTATTTTTCAGGGTGCTCATCAGGGATGCAAATCACTTATATTTTTTTCTAAGGGTTTTTTAAAAAGTAAGCTTAACAAGTATTCGATGCTCACAGGATCGTCCTGAAAGGACATAACTCATGACAGGGAATACCAGCTATGTCTGAATGCATTCTACGCAGACCATGGTGGGCCAGGTTGCAGCCATATTGTCTCACACACATGTAAATACAGCTCTGGCCCATGTTCCTTCTGCACAGGGAAATGTTTATCTCACAGGCTAAAAGGGAGCAAGTGAAAATTAGGACAATGGTTTATTTAAAACTATTATGAGTCCAAGGGCTGGTGGCTCATGCCTGTAATCCTAGCCACTCAGGAGGCTGAGGATCATGGTTCAAAGCCAGCCTGGGCAAACAAGTCTGTGAGATTCTCATCTCCAAGTAATCATCCAAAAGCCAGGAGTGGAGCTGTGGCTCATGTGGTTGAGAAGCAGCCTAAGTGAAAAAGGCAGGTGAGGGCGAATACAAAGCCCTGGGTTCAAGCCCCCGTACCAACATAAAACAACATCAAAACAAAACAAAAAAATCATGATGACTAAGACTGAATCTCTCAGGTAACTATCAAGTCAACAGAAATATCAGAAGAGTACAGCCATTATTCTTTCTGATATACTTTAGATATCTTGTCTTATTTAATTATGGATTATGGTGCTTTGATAAAAAGCAAAACCAAAGCCTGGCACTGGTGGCTCACACCTGTAATCCTAGCTACTCAGGAGGCTGAGATCTGAGGATTGCGGTTCAAAGCCAGCACAGGCAGGAAAGCCTGTGAAACTCTTATCTCCAATAAACCACCAGAAAACCAGAAGTGGTGCTGTAGCTCAAGTGGTAGAGCACTAGCCTTGAGCTGAAGAGCTGAGGGACAGCACTCAGGCCCAGAGTTCCCCATGACAGACCAAAAAAAAAAAAAAAAAGCAAAACTAAAGATACAGTACAAATTTTGCATTAAAATCCATGCTTTCTAGAGCACTAACCTTGAGCTGAAGAGCTGAGGGACAGCACCCAGGCCCAGAGTTCAAGTCCCACAATTGACAAAAAAGAATCCATGATTGAGTTAAATATTAAATATACAACTTTGTCGATATAATAGAAGATATATGTTAGAGTTTGATTTTTAAAACCTACCTCTAATTTGATTGTACTTATAAGAGCAATATGATGTTTTATAGAATGTTTCTATACTATTATCCTTTTAAACTCCAATATGTATATATCTAACTTTTCAAAGGTATTTTTTTAAAGTTATGTACTGTATTTTCTTAACCAATCAGAAAAGTGGAAGTTCTTGAGAATTTGAAGACACTAAGTTTTGGTTAAAACACAAAATTATATTTACATTGTTAAAAAATTAAATTTATAAACATTTTGTTAGAGGTGCTCAAACATTTTTTTTATATTGAAAAATACTAAAAACAATCCATACAGCACAAAAGCTAACCATTCACAGACAAATTCTCAGGTGTTAAGAGATGGTTTTCATATGGATCATGTGTATATGATACAATTACATGATTTTAAAGACAGACTCAGTGTTGGTGGTTCAGGCCTGTAATCCTAGTGACTCAGGAGGCTGAGAGGTGAGGCTCACAGTTCAAAGCCACCTTGGTCAGGAAAGTCCACGAGACTCTCATTTCCAGTTAACCACCAGAAAACTGGAAATAGTGCTTGCTCAAAGTGCTCAAAGGGGCAGAGCACTAGCTTTGAGTCAAAAAAAGCTCAAGGACAGGACCTAAGCCCTCAGCTGAAGCCCCAGGAACAACACCAGAAACAAAATAAAACAAAACAAAAAGACACGTTGACAAATGGCTTCCCATGACAACCTACTTTGTAAACAAAGAAAAAGGGAAAATGTACTAATAAAATTCTTTTATTTATATCTCTTTTTTTGTTATTGTGAGAATACCGTACAGAGGAGTTACAATTACATGGGCAAGATAATGAGTACATTTCTTATCAAGCATTGTAGCCTCCTCCTTTGTTTCCCCTTCCCATCCCTTCCCATCCTCCCCCTCCCCCCGAATCCTCCTCCCCCTTCCTCCCCACCAAAGTTGTTAAGTTCGTTTTTCAACATAACGACTTTGTACTAATACATTTTGATCATTAGTACTAGCATAATAGATTTACCCACAGAGCATTTCTCCCCACGAACAATTATTAGCTATTTATTGTACCAAATAAAGTACCAAAGTGGTTTTGTGCCAGTATGATGAAATAAACACCTGTAGAGCTCTATATCAGAAAAGATGTCTTTTTGTACAATGTGCTACTTGGTTTAAGTAGCAAACAATACGAAATGTGTAACATTTTCCCAAAAATGTTTTCTTCATCATTAAAACCTAATAATTGATGACCATCTAAATAATAACACTAATAAATCACATTAATGTGATACATCAGCCCTTGGAATTTATTTTCCTTACTCGTCCAAAGAGAAACCTTCCCCATCAAGGTATTACACTAGCAACATCACTTCAAGAATTCTACAAAGTTGTTTGATTCAAATCATTGCAATTGTGTATGCCGACTCCAAGAGTCTAGTGTACCCTTTTCCCACAATAAAGAAATATGGGCAGGAAAGATGACAAAAAGAACTCCACACACTTGTAGCCAAGCACTCGTGGCTCATGCCTGTAATCCTAGATACTCAAGAGGCTGAGATTTGAGTATTGTGGTTCAAAGCCAGTTCAGGCAGAAAAGTCTGCAATACTTATCTCCAATTAACCACCAGAAAACCAAAAATGGTACTGTGGTTCAAAGTGGTAAAGCACTACTAGCCTTGAGCGAGAAAGCTCAAGACAGTGCCCAGGCCCTGAGTTCAAAGTGATTAAATCAGGGCTGGGAATGTAGCTTCGTGATAGAGGGTTTGCCTAACTTACAGGAAGCCCTGGGTTTGAGTTCTCAGTACCACATAAACAGAAAGGCCAAGTGGGAGAGTGCTAGCCTTGAGCAAAAGAAGCTCAGGGACAGTGCCCAGGACCCAAATTCAAGCCTCAGAACTAGCAAAAACAAAAAACAAAACAAAGTGATTAAATCAACTTGAGTTAAACTCATAAGAGTTAAGGGTAAGGTTCAGTGGTAGAGGTAGACTCAATGTTTTAGCATGTTTTTACTTCTGGGTTCAATCCTTAGTACATATATGCATATACATGTATACATATATATATGTATATATACATATGTACATATATGTATACATGTATATGCATATATGTAATTTTAGATTATTCACACTCAACATTATCAATATCGAAAGATACAATTACAAGACTCTCATATTAATTGTTATAGTACTGATAGCTGACACTATTTTTCTACTTGAAGTGTCCATGGCTTTTATAAGTATAGTATACATTTTTATTACTTATCAATATTAAATTCTTCAACCAATTGTAGCTTTGTCTATGTCTATCTTTTTTTGTCGGTCATGGGACTTGAACTCTGGGCCTGGGCGCTGCCCCTGAGCTCTTCAGCTCAAGGCTAGCGCTCTACCATTTGAGCCACAGCGCCACTTCCAATGTGCCTATCTTTTGTCCTGTCAATTTTGCTTTATGAATTTGGGGGTTTTGTTATTAGATGCATGCTTACTTATGATTGCTGTCTTGTGGTGTATGAATTCATCTTCTTATTGTTACTGAAGTCAAGCTTCCTATCTCTAGTGATATATCTTGCCTTAAAGTTGACAATGTCTATTATTCATGTAATACATCAACATTCTTTCATTCAGCATTTGTATGATATGTTTTCAACTTTAAGCAACATCTGCCTTTATATTCAATTTTTATTTTATTTTATTTTTTCCAGTCATGGGGCCTGAACTCTGGGCCTGAGCGCTGTCCCTTAGCTCTTCAGCTCAAGGCTAGCACTCTACCACTTGAACCACAGCGCCACTTCCAGTTTTTTCTGCTTATGTGGAGCTGAGGAATCGAACCCAGGGCCTCATGCATGCGAGGCAACCACTGTACCACTGAGCCACCTTCCCAGCCCACGCCTTTATATTTAAAAGGGTTCATTGTAAACAGTATATAATCCCTCAGGCTTTTCATTTCTAAATCCAGTTCGACACTCTGTATATTTTTCTTGAAGGATTTATAGTTAATATAACTATACATTTATAGTTAATATAACTAATGGTATGGTTGAACTTGAGTCTTTATTGCTTTTCTTCTATTCATCTAATATATTCTTCCTTCCTCTTTTTCTTTCCTGTCTGCTTCTGAATTAATTATTTTGCATTCACTTTTACATTCTAGTTTTATATATTCCTCCTTGTTTTTCTTTCAGTGTTTTTGCTGGGTATTTCAGTGCGCAATCCTTAACCTACCATAAGCTAACTCTGTTACTATAAACTTCAAAAATATTTTATCTTAATTAATTAATGTTTCCAGTACCAAGGCTTGCACTCAGGGTCTGGACACTGGTCCCTGAACTTTAATGCTCAAGGCTAGCACTCTTCTACTTCAGCCACAACTCCATTCTAATTAGAGACTCTAATTAGTGACTAATTAGAGACAAGAGTCATATAGATTTTCCTGCTTGGGCGGGCTTTGAGTCAGGTTTCTCAGATCTCAGTCTTCTGAGAAGTTAGGATTATAGGCCTGAGCTCAGGTGCCCAGGTACTTGGTGTGTTGGAACGGAGAGGGGAAAAAAATCTAATTGACAGCAGTGCCATCTACTGGTCACCCACCAATATTTCTTATGCGGATGACAAATTGCTAAACTCATTTCCTCATAAACTCATGTCTGTACTTTTTTCAGAGCTGGTGAGCTGTAAGCTCATTGGGGAAATTAGTTTCTGGCAATCTTAACCCAACTTAACATTTTCAGTATCAATGTTGTATCTGCATCCTACCATACCTAGAC